GAGGGACCCTTTCATCAATGTTTCCTAGAAAGTTACTTTATGCTATATTTAAAGCAGACCAGACTTGTTATGGAGTCGCTGTTTGGGGGTATAAAGTCATCCTGTAAAGAAACCATTACAGTTTACCTAGGGATGACTTACTGTAGAGTCTGAAGTGTAATTAGGATTTTGTCCATGTGCCAAAATGGTTGGCATGTAGTCATGCAACTGTAATTCTTGGCACTTGGGCAGTTTGGGATTCAGCATTGCTCACACTGGCCTGATGAGCATGCTTGGACCCGGTAGCCATCCTGAGGGGAGAGAATTAACCAGGTATATACACAAGGCTGGGCAAGCCCTGAAATTTTAGTCTGAGAAAAATCACAACCACATCTGGGAGGGAAGGTGAGGTAGCCTCCATCCTACCTTTTAGCTAAGATGGTTAGGAATGGGATATCCAGGTTTTAGCCCCCACCTCTAAGAAGCTTTGAGCATGGCTCTCTTGTTTCTCAGCAAAGTGCTTTAAGTACCAGACCACAGAATAGGCTTTATCCTGCACTTCCTCTAGTTCTCCTTTTTGAAGCTGGCTGCCCAGGGGGATGAGGGAGATCTGTGAGGCCAGAAGGACAAGCATAAGGTAGAAGGAAGGCAGCTCAATGAGACGGCTGCTATTTTAGGAGCAAGGGGGTCTGGGTTTTAAAATCCATGGGAGTTGAGTGACTTCAGTATTTCTCAGAAACAGGTTTATTTTGAAATATAGATTATGGACATGAAAGTAGTGAGTATACAACAGAAAACAAGATGACACCATTTCTCCAATTTTAAACATTTAATAGTGCACTTATTGATTATACTCTGTACAGACATATATAGCATGTTATAAACCTCTTCCTTTCTTTCACTTAGACCATAATCATGTAAAGCATATTTACAATAGAAAAAAATACTTGAGGTACAAAAAACCCAAAAGAATATTTGAGGTATAAATACAAGTATATTTTAAATAATCTTTATCATGCTTTATCTAGGACAGTACGTTGTGGGCAAGTATACACGTTTACAATAGAATGGTATGTACAACATACGATTTTACAAACTGTTTGAAGCTGAATATGCAAGGGCTCCCAATTTGTGAGGAACACTGATACTGGAAACACTACATTATTTGCCATAACAAAAAATCTTCATCCATTAAGGAAAACTTAATAACACTGACAATGGTAACTTAGTCTCAGGCAAAAATCCATCTTACACCTCATTCATACGCTAGCCATAAAATACATTTATCACTTAATACTGCATCTCTAAATCAAATCTCTATCTTTACAGTAAAACCTGTATAAAGACCACCTTTTCCAGAGGACCTCTTTTAGTTTCTTACTGTCCATAAGAAGCGATTGTCAGTGAGAAATATTTTAGAGGGCTAAAAAAAATATAATATATTAACTAGCTCACTCTAAAGCTCCTAGTTTCACACTAATGTGCAGATTTCAGAAATGTAGGTACAGGAGAGGAAAATTTATATGAATCTTCCTTGTCAACTTCCTTTCTCTGATGTCATAGGAGCCCTAATGGCAGGACTTCCATGTCTACAATTTTCTTTGTAAGCTGTTAAAATACAGTAAAATATACTAAGCTGGTTAGGACTGTATACAATTATCATAGCGGATCTAGGAGTAAATGCAACAATATTCACTTTTAGGCAACACAGCTATTGACGTTGACTCACTTGGTTACTACAGAGAAATTTCAGCCGTAAGCTACATAACTGTACTCTCCTCATTGTAATAGAATCACTAAATGCTCCTAAAAAGATCTGGATAGGCAATGGACAGTACTCTGAGCAATGTAGTATGGCAGTTGCTTACAAGTTAACAAAGATAGTGACTGGGGAAAATACAAAACCAGCAAGAGCAAAGGATGATTGGTGCTGCAGCTGGCCCATTGGTAGTCAGATTCCAGGTTGAACTGTCTCCAATACATTAAAATCCATTCTGCTTGCTTATCAGTGTACCAGACACCATACTTCTAATTCAACTTTTGCTGCTACTTTCAACCATTAACACACTCATTCACACATTAATTTCTGTGCAAACCTTTCTTCGCTTATCTCAGTGAGAACACATTGAAGAGTACCAACTATTCCAGTGGATACACCAGTCCCTCAAACACGTTACAGATAAAATGACAGATACATACATAAAGCTAGTAGCACATGGGATCACGCATCTTCACGATGTTACATAATATACTTATGTTTAAAGAGTTTTAGCTTCTCAGAAGCAATTCAAACCATCTAATAGTTTAGTTTACCTTTTCTGAAGTCCTCCTATATATATTCCAGTCAAGATCTATACTATAGACCTTACATAGACAGGAAGCAGCTTTTGGATGTATGGTATTGCCACAGCCTTACAGTAATGCTCAGGGTCCAGTTCATGATCTTGTTCTTTCATGATACAACTTGCAGGTTGTGCTAGAATCCATTCTGCCATGACAATCCTTGGTTGTTGGGATTATATACAGGGATGATAATGAATAGTTGTTCCACCTTAGTAGTCACCTAGATTTTACTTCTTTAGTCTCAAGATTCTGAACAAAAGTGTCTCTGATCTTAACAATTTCAGATGCACATACGTGTCCAAAAGATTTGGTGTACCAGTCTGGCATGTGGCCCCTATAGCATGGAGAAAAAGCAAATCCAAAGCAAATTAAAAGATATCCACAACTCTGGTCTTTACTAAACAAAAGCATAAAAGTAAACATCCTATTTGCTACAGATTCTTCTAAAATCTGACAGAATATAACATTAAGAAAAACCTTCCACCAACTTTGGGAAGCTCTTTATTACATCTTAACTGCTCCAATCCATTCTCCATGATGTACTACTGTCTCTCTTCAATCACAGTGAATAAGATCTGCTGAGATGTCATCAAAACTTTGTTTCTAATATCAACTTATGCAGCTGTGCATAAATAATACCTCCCTCTCTCTTCCCACCCGAATGTTCCTGCTATAAAGAAAATGAACCAACACATATTTGCAAAAAAGTCACATAATTGGCTTAATGAATAACACTGAAAGATGGGTCTCCCTAGCTCCCTCATGCCATAATGAAGTTAGGTTGTGTGCCTTCTATGGCCAAAACTGTCACCACTTGTTTTGTGAGGTACACAGCATGCAATAGAAAGTTTAGACTGTACCTTGAGCCTTAACTTATTGTTAAAATATTGATGTTTTGTGAACACTGCCATGGCATGGGATTTACAAAACTCCAGCTCTCCTTCAGTCTTTATAATGAGGATTGTAGTGCCTCAAATTCCTGATTTGTTACTTTTTTTTTAAATGATCCCAGTAGAAGTCACTATCATTTCAGATACAGGATTGTAAGATTTAAGCCTATTTGTTTAATTAATGTTGTATGTTCCAACCTGTTTACCCCTGCCCCACAGAACTGCCTCCATCAAAGACTGGTGGGACAGAAGCAGAAGACCATACCTTAAATCAATCCTGCACATGTAGGTGAGTTTGGATTTTCCTGACCCGCACGGTTCAATCAGATACCTGGATAAGAGCACGTTAACTCTAACACCAACCACTGGAGCATGGTCATGATCCACTGAGGTGGCTAAAAGCACACAGGCCCCTTTGGGGAAGTTTGTCCTCCATGTTCTATTAAAAACAATTAGGAAAGAATTGTCTTACATTAGGTAGTTGCTTTATTTTAGAAAAAGGGACAAGTTTCTAATAGTGTTAGAATAAAAGTAGAAGAATGCAAGATGTGGCACACATCCACAAACCTGCCTTTCTTCTATAGCACAGGAAAGATTGTCTGAGCATCTCTTATACACAAGAAAAAAGTTTTTGATGGCTTCCAATGACCAGGTACATGAAATCTCACCTTAAGACAACAAAGTCTCTAGCTGGGTGTGGGGCCATGCTGTTTTGGACATATTGGTAGATATCTGTCTGACTGTCCAAGGTTTCAATTACTTTTGAGTCCAAGAGATCTTCATCCCAAAGATGCTGTTCTTTCAGTAAACGGTTTAAAATCTCTTCAGGCATGGCAGGGACTTCAATGGTGGACTTCCACAGCCGGAGTGGGGGCCCATCAGATACCTGGGAATGTAAGCACGGACTTCTCAGGATTATTACAATTTATGCTTTCTCTTTCCTGTTTTCCTAGTATTGGGAATACATAGAAAATCAAATCACCATGTAAGGTTGTTATTGGAAAGACTATCTTTCTTATGGAAACCTGATGTTTAACTGAATAAAACATCATAGCCTGGTAGAAATAACTTGAGCCTTTCTTAAGTTGTACAGGTAGCTGTAAGAATTTCAAAATGTGACCCTACCCTGAAAAA